TTTTTTTTTTTTTTTTTTTTTTTCTCTTTGGTTATGAAATCTAAAAAAGGGCTGTTACCACTTTATGGGATATTTTATTTAAAAATAATTGTGTGAGTATATATATACACACACACACACATATATATATATATATACATTATGTACATATATATATATTGTGTCTTCATGGAGTATAGGCATAATTAAATCAATTTTGTTGTTGTTAAGTTCCACTCAGGTAAAATAGGATATTGGATTTCTAACCTAATTATACAGGAAACAGGTCTAGTCCCGAGTTTAATGGAAACTTTGGACTGCACACACACAGGTGGTTTAATTTCCTTCATCCTATCCAAATACCCAGTCTAACAACACTGTAATCTGCAGACATTGGAAAACAAATATTTTATTCACCACTACACATTTAGGTGCTACATTTGTAAGATGCCTGTAGTTTTACTCCCCCAATGAGACAATCACTAACACTTGGCATGCACCTACCTCCTTGAAGCTGGGCTCCGTCTCCACTTTCATGTCTGAAATTCAGCAGACAGAAGTTTAACTAAATTCTCTTTCCTTTTCAATGCTCCAGGCACCTGGGAAGTTGTGACTCTCCTTAGCCACATCCCAGGAGCTCCCCATTCTCTGTAGCACTCTTAAAATCATCCAGAGGATAAAGAGAAGGAATCTTGATGCCACTGAAGAAGTGCAGAAGATGCATCAGTAATCAATACCAGTGAGGTTCTTCCTTTCCTGGACGCAACTGACTTGCCAGGATGAGTTACTTGCAGTAAATATGAAACACCAGGACCACTGCACCTTGCCTGTGTGCTTTTAAACTGTGCAGAAGAAAGTGTCACTCAGGATTTTTGGGCATCTTCCTCTCGCTTGTTTCTTCAGTAATGTCTAATAAACCTGCGAGGAGGGATACGAGGTCACACCTTGTATCCTCTGATTTAATTAAAGGAGCCAACTCTCAATATTCCAAGTTTCCAAGGAGAGTCTCTGGCTTCAGATCAAATAAAAGCTCTTCTATCTTAAAAGGTGTGATTTCTCAACTAACTGAACCTAACTGACTCCAAACTCAAGTGCCAGAGCTGAGAGAACAGAGATAATCATCTTCACTTTGAGCCACCAAGAGAGATCTACATATGCCAAAAACTGAGCAACAAGGAGCAGTTGGTTATAGCAAATCACAGCAGACATTGATAGAACCAGGTCATAAATAATTCCATCCTTGCTGCCAAAAGATTAAATAAATTAATTAAAAGAAAATATCAGCCTTTCTTTGTACTCCACAATCTGGGGAAAGTATTCCAATTGACATGCAGTTATGCCCGGTTTTGTAATATAATTGAAATTTCAACATGACCTACAGGTTTCATAGATTTTGCAAGTTGTAGTAGCAGAAAAAGGAGAGAGGAAATCAAGAAGGTAAAGATAAGCTCTAGCAAGCAGTAAATGGATATGCTGATTCCCTAGCTTTCCATAAATTAATAGGTCTATTCTAGTGAGTGTCATATTTTAAGGACAGCTGAATCAAACAGCAATTCTTCAGACCTAAAATATCATCACGGTGCTTAACAATGGATAAGATACAAAAAGTCTGCACTTGTGTTATTTCAGTGCAATGTGTATTAACTCTTGCTCACTGTTGTAGATCACCTAGAGTAATTAATGATTGCCATTAGTTACAATGTAGATTAGTTATTATTATTAGTCATGATCTGATAGGTAACACTGGTCAGTTGTGCTGTAAGTAGAAGGATGATTTCAACAGGTCAGCAAAAGTAAAGGGAAAAGTAAAATCCTACACCAAATTCTTCAGTCTAACTAGCAGAGCCTGCATCTGGCAAACGCTTTTGCAGTTTCTGAAATCAACTCACGCATAAAAATATCAGTGAAAAAAATTAGTTTGTGTCTGATGCTCACCCTTGTGTACACAATTACATAAATATACCTGTATTTGTAGGACAGTGTGAGAAATCATGAGAACATTAAAAGCATACCACATTTCCACCCAGATTTCAGATAACATGATTTTTAAGCATAGCAGTCTTGCCAAAGGCATTCCTACAGAAGGCTATGACAGGTTCAAAGTCTGGAAAGCTGGAGGTGGGATGTTGGGGTAGGATGAAGAGGGAATGGGGACTTGAAACAGAGCTATAGGGAAATAAGGAAACGGTGTGGGATCCAAAGATCTGGGATAACACATTTCCTCAGCACTGGCTGCTGCTGAGACTACAAGTCTTCTCTGCTTCCTTTTGCAGGTAGCTAAACACAACTAAATGTGACACGTGGCAAATATGAGCATGGAGTGGCTGCTGTGCAGAGAAACACTGGCACATTTTGGGGGAATTGGCCTTTTCCCGTATCCTTGGCACACCAAATCCATGCTCAGCATGAGCCCACAGCCTGCATTTCCTTCATGTGCATTTGGCTCAAGTTGGGAAAAACCACCTCAGTGAACTCAGCTGGACAGGAACATCGTTTCCCATGGAATTGGGACCTCATTTCATTTCCCATGGAATTGGGACCTCATTTCCCGTGTCTGGCTAGGAGCAGCAGCAGTATTGTCTGGTGAGCGTTTATTAATTGACGGGTGTAATTTATAAAATCACAAAGCAGCAGACCCAGCCAACAAAAGACTTGAAAACTCCGCTCCTCCATGGAAAACAGGATTTGCAAAACCTTGTTTGAATTCTGCTCTCACTTTTTCTCTGTTATTCTGTGTGATCTTATCGTAGTGCACATTGTAGCCCCCATAAATTATACCCTACCTACACTGCACATATGTTCTCCATATGTCCTATAAATACCACAAAGGAAAGCCATACTTTGTGGTGACACTGGGACCCAAACAAGATATCATTGCACATTAAAACTGTATTAAACTAATTGAAAAATAGTTGAACATTGCTAACAAAACAAGAGAAATACTAAACATTAAAAGACAAGAGACTTTTCAGTGTTCCATAAAACCACGCCTTTCAGACAAATTAATTATTTCCATCATAAAAAAAATCCTAACAGTGAAAGAAAACATTCCAGAAGGAAGTGATGAGTAAAAAAGCTTCAAGTGATTTTTCATTACATTAAAAACAATTCCCATTCTCATAAAATATGCAGAACTTTACATCTTAAATAGCATATTTACCTTCAAAAATTACTATATTTTTAGTCTTGCAAGAAATTAAACCTTAATTAGATAGGAAAGTATTTGGAATATATCCAGAAATAAAAAAACTACAGCTATTCCCCTATAAGTGGCACAGCATCTGTCAGGAGTTTTCACATACCTTCAGGAAGATATCTCAAATTAAACCAATAAACTTACTTTCTGTGATCAGAGTTAATATTCTGCAGACCCAAACTGGCTGCCTTGTTTATTTCATAGTTTCAATTTCTATTGCTGTACTTCACCCTGGCAAATAAATGGATGCATGAGGGGCTCGCCCTTGAAATAAATAATAAAATCTAACCCGACAGATCTTCCTTTGCCTCGAATGAGAAACATCTCATCCCTCTGTGATGCTGTTGAAACTAAATCTTGTTGCAAGAGACCGAATGAGCAGCCCTGGAATAAGAACTAAAGGTGTGTTTGAGCTACATCACCACCTCGATGAACATCAGAATTACATCTGAGACCAGATGGGAGGAAAGGAAGATGCACTATACAAAATATCTCTTCATTTGAGGAGCAAAGTATTACTCAATGGCATTATACATTGTTAATAAACTTTCTTTATCTGAAACTATAATTTAATATTTATGTATCTAATTTACATGTGACAAAGTAGCATATTCTAAAATTAGAGTGTAACCAGCAAACTATTAACTACTATAAACAATACCAAAACACAACTCAAACATATTTTAAGGAAACAATAGATACATTTTTTGAATGGGGAATGATTTCAATTGCAGATTATTGTTTTAAATACAGCTGTCAATTACATCTTGAAAAAATTTCTTCAAGCTCAGTAAGATTTTCTGCTTAGGGATTTGTGGGTATATACATAAAGACCAAGAGCACACCACCAAAAAGTCCCCTATCGGTTACTAGTAGGTACAGCAATAATTGTAAATGCTGAAATTGTGTGGGGGAAATAATTTTCAATAGCCATGTTATATGATGCACTAGACAATATCCCCTTTGAGCAAAAACTAGAGAAAATATCGTGCCCTTTATTATCTCTGTGGTTTCTTACGTGTAATAGACAGCAGAAGAATTGCACTTATTGTAACATTACAGTGTTAGATTGCAGTTCACCTTTTAGAATATTAGTGGTGGTAATACTTATGATAGGTTGTGCCTTATGCAAAGATGAATAAAGATGTACATTTAAATTAAAAAACAAAAAACAACAGAAAACAAGCAACCACTTACAGAACCAACAGTGAGGCTTAACATAACAAACATGCACTAACCCTACACTTATGCAAAACTAAGTTCTTCCAGGAAACTGTAACCAACTGTTGACCTTCCACAAAGGTAAAGTTTTTGTCCCTTGGTAATATGTTTGGACTTTGTAGTTGAATTCCAGTTTATTAGCTCATTGTCTGTAAATGTGCTGTTCCACTGTGGTATCCTTTAGCTGCCCTTGAGCTTCTGCAGAATCTGCAATCTTACAGTCACTTTTATTTAAGGTTTTATTGAGCCGCAGAGTAAGTCCCCTTCAGTACTACACAAATAGGCTTCCTTATTCATCCTCTTCAGGTTCCTGTGGTAAAATTGGTGTCTCCTCCTTTAAACAAGCACTAAAAAACCCAAGGATTGTGCTGTAAAGGTGATATTTGCTTTTCTCGGAAGCAATGTTATGACCTTCATCCGGGTAGATCTGGCAGAGGAGAAAGGAAAAATAGTAAATAGCTTTTAAAGGCTTTTCAAATATTTAGGACTCTAATTTTCTTTCTCTGATCTTCAACGTGTTTTAGATGACAACAGGATGATAACATTAGTTTTATGGCATCAAGAAAAGCTAATAAAACCCAAAGTAAGACTCATTCTCTTGGAATTTGAACTTAAATAAAACAAGCACTGCAGTGAGATCTGCAGAAGTGAAAAAATTTATGTTCTCAGCCACTGTGCTTACAACAGTTTACTTTAGTTGGCATTTTCAATACTTCCTAGGCATCCAAATCCCATTAACATCCACAAGGATTAATTACCTCATGCTTTTAGGGACCTCTCAATATTTCAGCTTCTAAGTGTTTGGCAAAAACCCATTTCATTCATATCTTAACCATCTTCCTATCTGGTCTAAAGCCCATCTCCTCTCCCTCCTAGGGTGGATGTGGGCATTTTTATCTCTTAAAACAAATACCACTGGGAATTTCTCCCGAGTGAGGCTGAGCAAACATTTGCAGGCTGAATGAAGAAATCCAGGCCACAAGAAGAGAGACCTGAGGAGGACTGAGGCAAAAAGCTTCAGCTGCCTCCTCAAACCCAGGTTATCACATGCTACATGAGAATGGCTCTACAGGGCTCTTCTGGGAGAACTCTGTCACTCCTGCTTCTGCCTCTCTCCACAGGCCTTCACACCACCTCAGCTGAAACCACACGGGCAGCAGGAACAGATTCTACATTTAAAGTCCTTTTTCCTTCCTTAAGTGGCACCAGCCCCCTTCTTGCCACGTCCCCCCTGACACGAGCTCACACTCCAGTGCAAACCACAGGATCACCCTAAGCCCAGCAAGTCGAGGTTTGTGATGGCCAAGGAGCATCAGGAGAGTTTGGAGATACTGATTCAATTAAAACCCTCTGCCAGCAGCATCCATGTACTCCAGGAGGGTCCCAGGCAAGCCTGTGCCTTGACAGAGGCTCTGTTGTGCCCTTTCAATAAATTTAAATGTTAAAAAGAAGGGGAAATTACTCTCATTTGACCTGACACCTTTTCAGGTAAACAGGGACCCAAAGTACTGAAATCTCCATGTTACAAGAGTGCCCATGGATTCCAGAGCACTCTGTATAGAATTGTAGGATAAACAGGAAAAAAGAAAGATGAGAGAGAGGAAAAAGAGCCCAGGAGAATGACAAGATGATATAGCTCCTGACATCCATACAAACAGTGAGAAAAATGGGATTAAACAGAGTGCTTACTGCAAATTGAGGTAATACCTCACCCACTGTGTTGTGGTAGAGAGGGTCCTTTGCAGTGAAGAAATAGCAACAGGAGGTTAAATGTTCAACTAAGTTTATAGGAAAAGTTCCAGGTGCACGTACCTGCATAGTGTAATTAGCCCCAGCTTTTATTAGACGCTTAATTAGTTCTGCTGAATGCTGGAAGTGAACTTTAGCTGCAAAAAAAACCATTTGATATTATTAGAAACAGCTACATTAATATGAGATACTTATCTGTTACACAGCTTTGGCTGAAAACATTTCCAGGCTCTGGGTGTGTAGCTGATAATCTCTAAGGCCAGCCCCACCAGCAAGAGAAGAGGGTGTTACAGCAGAGGTTTTGGAGAAGGAGCTGGAAGCCCCAGGGGAAGTCTCACTTTCCAGACACTTTGTGAGGACTCCTCTGTTTACCCTTAATTTACATGTCCTGTGGCAGCTTAGAGATGTGTGAAACCATTCTGTTTGAACATTGTGGCATCTTCTAATTTGCTTGAAGGGAAGCACACTGCATTTTCTACTGCTTGCACGGGGTCATTACACCCCACTCTTCTTTAGGCAATGGGCTTTCTGGAACCTATCAGTAACCTGACCTTTGTGTGCCAAAACCATGATCACCATGTCCTAACCCTGCAGAGTTTAGGCTGCAAGTGGGCTGGGCAGTGTCACTGGATGTGATATTGAGCAGGGGCAGCAGACAATCACACTCCCAGGCCAGAGCACAGACATCTCTGACATTGCTCAGACATCTATCAGAGCCCCAGTTCCCTCTGGTGCTAGGTTCAGAGGGGCAGAAATTGCTGCTGCCTGTTGCAATCAGTAAAGCCTGAGCCCCTCATGCCTGCTCAGGCACCCAGTATATTTTCATCCCCCTCCCCGTGCTCTGGGGAGAAGCACTGGACAGGGTTTGCACCCCTCTAACATGGATTTGGCAAAGTCAGGGGTGACAGGCTGGCACTATGGGCACTGTCACCTCAGCCCTCAGCTAGTGAGAGGCACTTCTCCCTTCAGACTGAGAAAGAAACCTTGTACTATCCCACATCCACCAGAAAATGCTGGGAAGGAAGCAGGCACGTCAGTCTCTATAGAGCAGCTGTTTGCATCACTGTAATTTGTGCCTGCATCAAAGCTCATTCTTTAGACATCAGTTAAGAAAGTTCAGAAGAATACACTGCAGTGAAATCTGCAATTACAAATTATCTCAATTGATGTGTCTTATGATTCCATCTAAAGTGCTAAAACTTACCCTGTGTAACTCATTCTCTGTCTTAATCTACTGCTAAAAGTATTGCTGCTATTAAAATGTTCTGTGTAGCTTCAGTTTCTGAAGGTTTGGCAGTACCTTGTAATTAATTAGATGAAAAGATTAACTTCCCATTTGGTGCTGTACTTCACCAGCTGTACAGATAATTCTGCAGAATTTATATGAACTTAAAACAACATTAAAAATGTATGTTGTTCTATTAATAATACATGTAATACCTTTCACTAGCAACACAGTGGTCCACATGATTTAAACAAATTAAAGCATACAGCATCTAAAAGGTGCAAATCCTCAGCAAATAAGAGCATCACCAGTTCTGAGTTAGAAGTGACAGTTGAAACAAAATTAAAAAATCTTATCAGAGGGAAAGTGAAACTGCAAATGTACCTGCTGCGTGTGCCCCATCAGCCCTTGAACATCTGCCTATTAGAAGCTCTGACTCCAAATTAGTTGCATCTGTAAATACTCACCATCAGCTGTCCCATGAACTATTAGCAAATCCACTTCTTTTAAACCATGAAGATTGTGTAATACACTGGATGCCTAAGTGAACAAACACAGAGCTGGAATTCAATTGTGTTTTAAGAGTAAAATGGTCACTTTAAGTTACTTGTTTATGCTAACTTACCTGATAGGTAATTTCATCTTTTGATGGAATCCCAAGGTACCTTTCTGAAAAGGCTGATGCTGTAAAAATTAAAAGAACCCCTAAAAACCTTATGAATTCCAAGTTATTTCTATTTTAAAACTCATAATTTCTGACCTAGAGTCAGAAGCTATTTAAGCCATGAAGTTGAGTTGTTCATTTAGAGACACAGAATGTACGATTTTGATCTACCATCTAAACCCACTTTTAAACAGCTAAAAAAAGAAACCAACCAAAAATCAACCAACTCCCCTCATAAAAAAATACAAACCCCAACTCCAACCAACAATAAACCCAAACCCAAAAAAAACCACAAGCTAAAACCCAAATAAAAGTCCAACAGACAATTACAGTAATCTGGTCTGGTTTCCTGTGTACCACAGTTCACAGCCTGTGCCCAAAACTTCACATTCAGAACAAAATAACCTGTGACTGAATGACAACACGGCTGATATTATAGGGAACTCACTTCTAACCTTAAAGGATTTGTTCCTAATACAAGACTTGATTCATGGTGATATACATAAAGGATTATTAGGAAACGAGGTAATGCAAAATCAGAGCTGTCAATAATACCACGTCTGTTGTGGGTTTTGGGGAACCATCCCAGTGTCAGCTTTACTTTCATTTAAAGAAGAGACCAAGACAGTGAGGTGGAATCTCACTAACATTGTTACTTTATCTGCCCTTAGCTGAAATAAATATCAGCTCCATGAATAAGAGTTATTTTGAATGAGCTATCACACAGGTTTGGGCAGGGAACACTCACCATATAACTTCATGTCTGTGATTGGTGCCACCACAGCTCCACACTTGAAGAGATGCTCGCTGGATTTCAGGACCATCGATGTAATGTAGCCACCGTATCCCTAACAATTGGATTGAAATTTGATTTATGTCATTCTAGCGAGAATGAAGCTAAAGGCCACTGTGCTAATCCAGTGGTATCTTTTTTACAGTTTAAGGATGCATAAAGATCTCATTGGCCTGGTCATGACTTTTAATCTATGCAGCTAACAACAACGAGCGATGCAAATTTCTTCACCATCTCCAAAGTCTAACACATCTCTCCTGGAAGAGCCGATACCAGCAAGTCAGAAAACCTTTGTGAAAGCTTTAACTTGAGAACACAGATTTCCTTGAAATGACAATGGCAATCCATTTCTGTATACCTCTAATCATTCTAGACTCACAGAAGATGAAATTCTGAATTATGGCGCCTGGAATCGATGATTTTCTTTTATATTATGGGCTCCTCAAATTTCTCTACTTGCCATCTTTGTTTTCCCTTCATCACTACTGAAAAATTGGTATTTCTTCAGGTATTTTTTCTGTTGGTTTGAGTTTGGCACAACACACTTCAGGAAGATAAAATTATCCCATGACAGAGAAAATATAATGCAAAACATCAGCTGATCCAAAAGAAGATTATGCATCAAGTGCTTACAGTTTTCTCATGGACTTTTATGAATGCTGCCTGCTCCTTTTTACATGTCTAAATATTTATTGAAGAGACGATTTCTATGGAAAAATGATAATATTTGAAACCCCTCTAACCTTATTTAAGAAATACAAGCACAGAGGTTTCCTGTTCTTTGCAATCAATCCATATTAAGTGGGAGTGGACACACTGAAGAAAATACCAAATAGGAGCTGGATTTTCAAAGGAGTGTGAAGAGCTGAGTTATTCCTTTCCCATACAAATTTGAGCCCAGGAGGCCAAGAGCAACCCAGATCTGCTCATGTGCTGGAGTAGATTTCACCTAAGACAGAATTTCTGAGCAGGTGCCTGTAATTTGTATAATTCAAAGAGTTTAAGAGAATAGCAGCTTTCCTCTGCCTCTGGGTTTTCTCTGCTTTTACTTTTGTTTAATATTCTGTTTGCGTCTTTCCCAGTAGCTCCAGCACAATTTTAATCCAAGGATAGGTATTGCCAGGTTATTTATTATTTATTCCATGTTTTCATTAAGAGCTTGTTTAACTCTCCTGGGAGCTTCTTCCCTTTGTGCCTGTGTCCTTGCTTCCAGCCAGGCTTTCCAGGACAAAAACACTACAGAGTGATTTTTTTTATAAATTCTTAGAAGCATTTCACAGTGACATTGCTGTTCCATACTCCCTGGTGCAAGAACATGTGGTGCCTCACTCATCCGCTGGGTTTCTGGGGTTACAGCCTAATTGCCACATTTTCAAGGAAGATGTTGGCTGTAGAATTGCAATTAATTTTTAAAGTCTCTTTTCACATCCATGAATAAAACCACAAACTCCATGGAGCCACACTTGTCTGTCTAACAGGTCAGAAAGGCCCTTGGATCATGCATCACTTCGGCTCACCCCCCTCACTGAGAGAAGCAAGGGGGCACTGGCAGATTTTCCCCACTGTCACTTTCTGGACAGTTTCTTACTCTTGTGCCTCACTGACATCACCAATTGTGAAAAGAATTTTACTTCTGTGTAGTTCTGAAACCTCTTAAAGGGCTCCTTGAAAGTGTACGTAGGTCCAGATTTAGGAGATCAGCATTAAGCCATTCCAAAGCCAACTTATTTTCAAGCAAAGTGCATATTCTGTTTCCATCAGTAAAGCAAATTTAATGCATAGAAAGGAAAAAAACAACTTGTTTTCCTACCACGTTCTTGTTGTGATAAAAAAGAAATGAGTTTTAAAGTAGATTTTTAATTGACTCTAAAACAGAGTGGAGGAAAATACAATTAACCCTAAGAAGCTGTTAAATAGATTTTTTTTATTATTAATTATAAAACTGACTTTCAAATTTTATGATTTTTTTTTCTTTTGACAGTAAAAAAACAACTCTGAAAAGTTAACTTGGAAAGGGGAAATTTCCCTGAATTCAAAGCAGTGTTTAAAGCTTATTGAATTTCCCACTCATCATTCCTCAACACCGCTTTCAGAAAACAAATGCAGGAACATGGCAATCAATAGCATTTTGTGAAAGGAAAGAAATTTGGGAGTGGGTTTTGGCAGATATATAAAGCCATGGTTCCATGCATGCCCTTCAGTTACTGTCTCATCACATCTCTCTTAGGAAAAAAGATACTGATGAATCTCTGACAGAAAACAAGTGGGAATTTTCAAGTAGCAATGAAAAGCATTTCTGCAGTCAAAACCAAGCAATTCTGGATGCTTAGGGATTTCATTCCAGAAACAGTATTTTCAATGAAATGTTTGAAAGAGGAAGAGGATACAGAGAAACATTGATGCTTCTACGCTTACTTCTATGTGTACTTCCACATACATTGGTAACAGGCATTAAAACCTGAATAGAAGTGTGTGCCACGATCACCTGCTGGATGAAACTGGCCCTGCCTGTGCATCCTCAGCTGAAAAATCTCTGGCTGCTCCCTTACAAAGCCAAATACTGGCTTTGACCCTAGTGAAATTCTTGCAGTGAGAGTTTCTTTCTCAGCTCAAGGACTGCAGCAGGAGCTCAGAGCTTTGAGGAAGGTCATGTTCATGTGAAATGCTAATAACAGTCACAAACATCAGCCAGTCCTCAAAATGCTACCATGCAGGAGGTAAATGTCAGTCTCCTCATCCTGCATCCAGACAGGCTGAGACAGGCAGGTTAAATGACTTGCCTGAGGCTGTGCAGCAACTCAGCATCAGAGTGAGAACTAAGGCACTTCATAGTGAAACACATGCTGCTCCTTAAAGTGATGACTGGGGGGTACTTGATCAGGGTTTGTTGCTGCTTTGAGCTCAAAGGCAGAAAACAGCTTCATTTTTAATACAAAAATAAAAAATCTTAAAAAAAATTAAAAGGTTGCACATACCGGTTCAGAGATGAAGCAGCAGTTGTGTGGTGTTTCTAATTGCTGCTTTTTAATAGACACCAGTAAAATGCTGTTTAGTTTGCCACTAAAAGTTGAACCTTTCCCTTGTTGCATCTTGTGCTAGGGGCAATGACATGCAGCTGATAAAACAGCAAAGGCAAGATTTCTCACTGGTGCAACAAGGAACTTGCTGACAGCACCACAGAGTAGGTGCTCAGCTAAGCTCAAGGGTCAGTAAAACATGCAGATATAAAACCTGTATTTTATAGGACAACATTGTCAATTTAACTGCAGCCCAAATATAAAACTGTAAGAAAGAAGCCTTCACAAAAACCAAGTCCCTATGAAAATTTTCTAAAGAAAGCAGAAAGCAGAATTTTTAACAAATGCTTTCTCCTTCAGATTCTGAAATGCAAATAGTGTTATACCATAAAACTGAATTTATTGACTTAACTACTCATTTTGAGAAAAAAAATACTGCACAGAACAAACAGTAAATTATGGATAACTTTTTCCCCATTTTAATAACTGAAATTGTCCTAGGAAAATATATAAATATATTTGTTTATGAACTGACAGCACTTTCTTAAAGAATCATGATATAGCCTGCTATTTTTGCACATTACCTTTCCAAATATACCCAGCCTCTTAGGATCAATGAAGGGCTGTTTCAGAAGTGATCTGAAAGGAAAAAAAAGTTTTTTAATTTTGGCAAAGTAAAATGGTGGATTTTAATTTCTGAATATAGTATGTAAAGAAATTTAATTATTTGTGCATTAAAGTATTGACAGACATGGAGATCAGGTAGAAGAATTACATCCATACAAGTAGTACTGCACTGGGAAATGTGATTTGTTTCCTAATTGCTTTTTTATAAGGTAAACAGTTGGTGTTTGGCCCCTCTCACCTAATTTAGATATCTGAATTTAAGCATCTTGTCTAAATTATCCATTTACATCAGCTTTTCAGTTAATGGAGAGAAGAGAGATAATCTTTAGCATTCCTACACATGTTGGAAACTTCTCTCAGTCTGGGGAGGATCATCCTTCAGAAGTGCCAGGATTTTCCACTGATTAGAGCTTAAATGACAGGCTTGGACCAGGTGCCTAGCACCGGCTAAAGGAGGCTAAGATCAATGGAGCTTCTTGAATCTAGATAATTATACAAATAATTAATTCTCTCATCAAGGCTCTCATCATCTATGGTGAATTTTATACAGAAAGGACAGAATAACCTGAGGGGAAGTATCAGACACAGCTGCTTATTCATGGAATGATTGAAGCATTGGCCTCTTTCAAAAGAATTAAAAATATCTGGCTTAAAATCTGTCTTTCCCTGGGAAACCCCAGAAAAGTCCATCCAGACCTTGGTATGAGCCATTTTGACACGAGCACCCTGAGTAAGGAGCATTGTCAAAGCTATACATGACAACTCCACAGACAGAAATTACTCTTTTTTGCAGCTGGTAGGCTTATATCAGTCTAAAAATGATAATGCAAATGAGAAATAAGAGGCAATTTTCAAAATTTTGCTCTCATTTACACCACAAGAATGCCACTTGCTTTGTGTGATTACTCCAGAGCTCTGTGGTGTGAATGAGAGCAGTATCCTATGGTACAGACCTAAAATATTGTAACATAATGCATTTATATGCTAATGTGGACAGCAAGAAGTTTACCTACAGAATATAGACAAGCATGAATTAGCTCAGGTGGCATATTTGGATTGCACAGAGCAGGACAGCTTTACCAAAGAGAACCAACTCAGAGAAAACCCCACAAACACCTCTTCGATTTTTCACTTGCTGTTTGTAATGGAAGGATTACGGTTGCAAAATTTGTAACTGATTTAAAAACCAAACATTAACAATGCAGAGAAAACATTCTGGGCAGTTTTAGTCCAAATGCTCATTCAGGTGGAGGCAGGGTGAAAGAGAGGAGTTTGCACATACGTACTCTACAGCTGCTATTTGGTCCTTCACTTCCACTGATCCTAAGCATCGATGGACCTCCTGTAGGATCTTGAGGCCTTGAAATCCACTCCCTCTGCCATCAAATCGAGCTACGATGACATTATCAGAGTTGACAAGCACTGAGTCCCAGTCAATGTGAAACTTATCTGTAACCAACTGGCTGCCTGGAGCTTCATCACTGCAAATACCAACACACCAGACACAAACGAAGACTATTGACAATGTGATGCGCTGTGCCGAGCTCTGATATTTTATTTAACCTACGTGGCAGAGTTCAGTTGGTTATGCAACCCTGCTGAGCTACTGTCACCTCCATCAATACCATCCCATTAGGGCTGCACGCCCTGCAGCAAAGTAATTTCTTTAACTTTATAACCGCTGTGCGGCGGCGCTGCCAATACCTGAACACACTCTGTTGAAGGGCACGGAAAATTAAAGCAGGTAGGGCTGTTTATAATAAAGTGAAGGGAAAAAATCCCAAACATAATCAGTAATGGCTAGCTCGGTTCTGAGGAGGCTCATGCAGAATTTGCAAAGTCTCACTGAACACACAAAAAGGTAAAATTCATTCAGCACCCTATTACAGTTCTGCAGGATATACAATACTATTAAGAAGGATGTCATCTGAGAAAACAAAAATAATTGCATTATTGTATCCTTGAATAGATTTTTTGAAATAGAGTACAAAGAAGACTAAAGCATACACTGGAGAAAATTATATTTTCTCCATCCAAATTCATAGGAAGCAACGCATGCAGGCAGGAGTGATAAGTCTATTTTATGACCAAGAAAAAAAAAAAAGGTGTTTTACAGCACAAAAGGTGAAATAGAATGGGAGAATATAGTTTCTAGAAGAACAATAAGATTTTCCATTGAAGCCAAATACACTATTTTCTTTTCAAAGAAAATAAAATGTCAGTTTTAAAAGGGAAGTTTGTCATTATTTTCCCCAAGATAAACACAGAATAAAAGAACAGGCTACCATCAAGTTGTACAAAATGCAAAATAGTTCTAAGCAGGCTGCATCTGCCAGTGGAATGCAAATTAAAATGTAAAAGTGTCTGTGCTGGCTTATGGAAATTGAATTGGATGGTCTGTGGGAATATCCTGTCTAAGGTGAAAGAAAGATGAAGACAGAAATTATTATTTTGCCAAATAGACTTATGTAAACCCTGGGGAGGAAAGAGATAAAATATCCTACAATAAGTCCTGTCTTTTAAATACAATAATATGCTGATTCAGTATCTGGCTGTGGATAACATAGACCATCTTCAAGGTAATCACTCAGTTAATTAGCAAGCATATGATGAACGTGTGTGTTCTCAAATTCAGTCAGACCTATCTATTTAGTTGCTATATCATGTACTGAAATCAGGATTACTTGGTTACAGACTCAGCCACAACATGTTATGCTTGATTTACCATTATCTTGCACATCAGGTTTAGGCTTGGCTTTATAAGAAGAAAAGAAGGGCAATTTTTGGTGTGCTTAACCAATTCAGTTGTGATTACACTAATTACTAACACTATGAAGCAATGAGTCTGGAAATTCTGTCAAGTGAGCTCTGCAGAAAACACACAATTCAGGAAATATCTATTAATTATTATTTGCAATAAGGAGCAGAGCAATATTTCCAATTTCTGCTCATTGCATGAGCAAGGTTTCCAGAAGCACTGCACATTGACACAGATGTTTTCACAATGTATTTATCATTACTTTCAATAATAGGAGCCTCAGACCAGACACAATTATTTGTAAGTTCTTCCAACTTTCCACAACAATATGTCAGAAATATCCATGTTTGACTAGGTACCTTTCCAACAGATTAACACATTCCATGTAAGTGAAAATATCGTGAGTCAGCCTGCTTTCCTCCCTTTAAATATGAGAGCAAAGCTAAAACAGTGTTCACATTTGATTGATACGTGTTCTGTATCTAGGTTATACATACATCTGGTATATATAGATATAGGTATCTTGTATTTCTAGACACTTAGGAATAGGAGAAGAGCCATTACAGTTGTAAGCCCTCCCTAAGCCAGGTGCTTAAAACCAAAAATTGTTTTAAATCAAAGGTGATACCCACAATGAATTTCCCCAGTAAAGAAGAAACAACAAACAGAACCTCAGCCAGTTGCTCAGTGGATGAGAACTGACAGTGATGGTTTCTCAAGCTCCTTTTTGGAGGTCATAGCTGGGCTACTTTTGGGCTCAGAGTTTAAACACTACACATCATCCAGCCCTGCATGATGGGTTCTTTGATGTACTGCTTTAGGAAGCAATTTTCCAGTGGCTAGTTTATTTCAATAATCAATATCAAAATTCCCATTAGCACCAAAAGGTCTCTCTACTCTTTAGCTATAAAATGATACTGAGTATCTGAGGTGTGTTTCTGTCCTCCACAGAGAGACAGCAGACATATATTTCCCAATACTTGCATTATGCCTCTTTATATTTCTTTTAGTTTTTTAATGGCTTGTTCTCAAAGCTGCACAGAAGATTCTCTTTGCAACCCTACCGTCCTGTCTCGCTATCAGAGTGCATTCACTGGGGGCATAAATAGGTTTGATTGTTTGTGTAAGGCCTAAAACTTTCATCAGTTCAAAACCAGGTAAACCAGGTCCTGCTTATGATCAAAATATAAGAAAACAAGTAAACAAATAAACAAACAGAAACCTCTCAGAGACAATTCACTGCTACTTTGAAGAATACTCAGGGTTTTTTCCCCCTCAAATAACAGGACAATCTTTCCACTGATTCAGTTTTACAATATCAGCTTACATATTGGACAACTTTAAATGGCATTAAATAATAGATACTGATATTTAAGATACATTATCTACATATCTGAAGGAATGAGGTTAATTACAATCAAAGAAAAATACAGAATGATTACCAACTCTGATTTTATTACCCAGATTAAATGCCAGAGTCTTTACTTAATCATTTCCTGTGTGTTACCAAGAAGTGTATCTTCCAACTTTTTTAATGAGTAAGGTGAACCATAATGAGGAAATCAAAGATCTGAAATTTAAACTTTGATCTTAATTATATAGAAAAGAGATGGTAATCACTTTTTCAGGCAATTACCGTGCAGCTCTCTAATATATAGCTACACTGTGTGTATTACATCAGAAGGAAACTGAGTGTGAACTGTTATCAGTGGTTTAGGAGAACAAATGGAAGAAAGTGTTTTAATCTATTTAACATTTTATGGGCTACTCATCACAATTCTGTAAAGAAAAAGAGTGCCAGCCAACATAACTGGTTTTTACACGAGATCTGTTAGACAGTCCAGCCATACAGATGGACATAAATTTTAACACAGCAATACAATGAGCCACTATTTGAGTATTGCAGCTTGCTTTGCAGCTGCTAATGGATGAATGTTCACACAATCCTTATGCTGATGGTTACAGCATAATCAGGTCCTGGTCCTTAAGTTGAACTTGTGTCTACATGGAACTGTGCTCAGTTCAGGCCAGATTCCTCTGGTGCAAGCTTCCTTCCAGGATTCAGCCTTAACACTCAGGCATCAGGGGGCCATGTGCAGTTCAAATTTACCTGCAGACATCCCAGCATGAATACAGAAGTCTTTTCATAGCCATGCACCTTTGAAATGGCTACTAGATTTCAGTGATTTGAAAAAAACCCCAAAAATAAAATAAATAAATCAATCCTTCCTTCCTTCCTTCCTTCCTTCCTTCCTTCCTTCCTTCCTTCCTTCCTTCC